GTCTGCTGTCACCCAAAAAATGACTGTGAAGGAGACATCTGCTCTCCTTCTGCACAGTGGGGGAGAAGGAAGGGGTCTGTCTTCTGCTAAGGCAGGTTTAGTCCCCACTAATTGGGTGTTTGCACAGTTGCTGGCGAGCAAATTGCGTTGCATATATGACTTTATGCAAACAAGGAGTGCTGCAGTGCTGTCTTGGAGTATACCCCATCCATATGGTTCCTTTCCCTGTCTGCTGAGGAAAGGATGTGAAAAGAATAACATTCACAAGTTGTCTTTGTTCTCAAATGTTTCTATTTCAAAATGGGAGACCATACATACAAACTCTGACTTGTTAGCTCCACTTCATTTAGCTGTAATACACAACACAGTTGTGTGATGAGTCCATTGGAGGGGAAATGGCCTGGTTAAGAGGGGTTTTACCTGTTCCCTGTTTGCCACTTTCAGGTTGTCAGACTAAGGATACCTCAAAAACAAAAATAGAAAGCTGAGATAACGCCAGGTTGTCTGTTTACAGGGTTTAACATTTTTTTGGTCTTCAGTAATTCCAAGTAGATTATAGATGCTCCAGCAGCTTTGGTCAAATGAGGCAGACACTTCACATGTCATTGCTTGCTGTTCAGCAGAACTAGAAGGAGTGCTTAGGGAGCTTGTCTGTTACAAAAGGAAAAACACTAGGGCTCTTAGTGTCATACTGGAAGATCATAGAATCATAGAATCATAGAATAGTTTGAGTTGGAAGGGACCTTTAAACATCGTCTAGTCCAAACCCCCTGCAATGAGCAGGGACATCTACCACTAGACCAAGTTGTTCAGAGCCCCATCCAACCTGACCTTAAATGCTTCCAGGGATGGGGCAGCTACCGCCTCTCTGGGCAACCTGTTCCAGTGTTTCACCACCCTCATCGTAAAAAATCTCATCCTTATATCCCATCTAAATCTCCCCTCTTTTAGTTTAAAACCATTACCCCTTGTCCTGTCACAACAGATCCCCATAAAAAATTTGTCCCTGTCTTTCTTATGAGCCCCCTTTTAGGTACTGAAAGGCTGCAAGAAGGTCTCACCGGAGCTTTCTCTACTCCAGGCTGAACAACCCCTACTCTCTCAGCTTTTCTTCATAGGACATCAGTCCACCAAAAGCTGAATTACTTGCTTAGATAGTAATTCAAGTGATCAGCGCACTTTGTCTTTCAATAACAGCCTGCCTGCTTGCTCATTAGTATAATACAGTATTAATTTTCTCTCTTTCTGCCTTCCCACAACAGAATATTTTCATATATAATGCTGAATATTGTATCTCCTCCACTAATAGCACTGGAGGAGGGGAAAGGGTATAATTAAAAGGTACCTATTATATTTTTGTTTCAAATGTTTACATTTTTGTTTCAAAGGTCAGCAGATAACAGCTTATATACTGCATATTTCTCCAACACATGACATGTTTTATAATGATTTCCATTTTAATCTAGTCTTTTTTGCTTAGATGTGTAATTGTGCACCCACAGGATTTTTGTCAGGAAAATGTAAACCAATTGCTGAGTAGGATTTTCAGAACTACTTAGTAGTATTTTCATGTTGTTTCTTGTGTAAATCAAAGGTTTATCATTGTCTTTACTAGGATCATAGCAAACGAGTATTAAGTGCTTTTGCAAATTCTACCCTGGATGTCTGAATATTAGTTCTGTGAAAGAAATAGGTACTTTTAAATTACAGAAATTCTGAAAATAATAGTTGGCACAAAACCATGCTCACAATTTCCTGGCATACTGCACAAGCCTAATCTTAAAATATGCTGTTACTTCTCTGAAGTACAAATTTGCTGAGCACATCAAGAAAATTTGAGAAATACCCCTCTAAGTGTAATTTTAAAATACTATTTATTTTTTTTAATATTAATGTGTGACATTTCTACTTGTGTTTATGGACACAAATAATTGTGGATACAGCCAGGGCCATTTCAAGCCCTGATTAATACATGCCTGTCAGAGAGACCAGCACTCAGACTCTAATGACCCAAAGGCACCTGCAGCCTCAAAGAAGACATGCCCACTTTAGGTTGGACTGAAAATCAAGCACTGATGTTTTAACACGACTTTCCATTTCATAATGGAACCTTTTCTGTTTTTATAAAATGCCACTGATCTATAACTGTTACGCACCACTGCGAAAGCATACAGTTTTAGAATATGGCATATCCAAACCAAAACCAGCTTTTAAAGCCACGATCACAGCTGGCGCCTTTGTTAGCAGGCACAGTAGAAGGGCCAAGAACTGCTGCTGATTTCTAGGAATTCACGTGAGTTGGAAGATCCAGGATTCAAAATTCTTGTCTGTCTCCTTTCTCACCTGAGAGCTGGTCAGTGGAGTATCAAATTCATGTTTCATCTCCTTATATCAGGGGACATGGCTGATTCTTTTCATGGTGCTTGTTACTATTTTCTTCTTGTTTTTCTTAATTATTTGGCATGAACTTAAGCCCATCTTAAAACCATTACTTGACTGGGATTCCTTTCTTTCCATTTTGTTACTTCTGCACTCCAGGGGATTTCCTTGAGGAAGCTAATATCTTTCCTAGGTTGCTGCAACAACACAGGATCCAAGTTTCTTTGTTAAGAATTTCCATAACTCATTCAGTCACAGGCAATGTTGGTACTGTTGGCTAAAACTATTTCCTCCCTTTCTAGCAAGTCACCTTTACTTTCTCAGCGTAATTACAATGAAGAAAAGCCCCATGATGTTGATTTGATTTGGCAACACTTAGTCTTGTAGCTGTGATCTCTGTTGGGAAAGATGCTTTCTGTATGGCTCATTGCATGGATCCTGACTCAGCCAGGGATGATTGTTATAACGTTGACACTAGGAAAATCATTAGGAAAGCAAGCAGACAAACTAATATTATAACAATGTCTATGAGTGATATTATGTGTAGTTGCCTAAAAGAAGAAAAAGGCATTGAGAGAGTCTTTACATCTACTGCCACGCATACCTCAGAAAATTACGATGTGGCAGTAGAAACATTTGTGGTCACACAAAATTTTCAAAATGTGCAGGGGAAAAGTGGTAGGGCTTTCGCTTCTTCACAGAAGCTGTATAACATGAAGGATAAAAGTGTCTTAAAAGTGCTGTTGGATTTCTCACAGACCCAGAGGGTGAATTGTAGATGTGGAGAGCCTGCGCCTGTTCATTCTTTTTCATTTCCTTTAAATGCTCTATGTACGACTCACTTTACGCTGTTGGCACTCTCTTCTTATGAATCCGAAGATCACGTGTGTAACATGCAGGCAGAAATAAATCCTGTAGGTAAAAGAAAGTAGAAATTGGCTAAAGATCAAAGGTTATCCTCATTCCACTCCTTCCTTCTCTTTTATTATCCTGTCTAAATTTGGTCTTTTGTAGAGAGGAAAGTGGGCTGATGGGGCTCATGAGGAAAGGTTATGGTTAAATGAGAGTTTAAGATTTTATTTGGTTTTTAACCCTGTATGTAATTTGAACCACAGTGTAGTTACTTTGCTAAAATCAAACCTGCAGTTCTTAGACAGTATAGAAGATTGTGGAGTGGCTTAAGGAAACATTATTACACCTCAGGTGTTCTGTGATCATCTATAGATTAAGTGGCAAATAGATCTTTTTTTTTAATCTTTCTTCTTTTTTGTCTGAACAGCCAAACCAAATCTGGTAATTAAAGTCTCTACTCTCAAAACAGATGGGCAAGTGATTAACTAAGTCATAAGGTGTAAACAGAACTAATTGTGTGATTGCTTGTTTGCCAGACCAAGCCTCAAGTCTGTGTCTTGGAAAGTTCTTGTAGAAAATATGCTTGTAATTTCTGTACTTTTTAATTTTTTATTATGTTCTTCACTAGAACGTAATAAAAAGACATTTATTTTCCTGTTTTCACAGGGCCACAGGCTTTAGCAGGTACCTTCTAAATGCTTAATTTAAGGTTATGAAGTGCACTGGAATGAGTAGTGACCATCAGTAGAGCAAGCAGAACAGACCAAGTACAGAAGTTAAGAACAAGAAGTGAAGGATTTTAACTTCAATAGTTTCAAAGCTTTACTTATCATTACTCACTTAGAGGAGATTAATCAAAAACAATAGCTGTCCCAGGAAACTACCATAAAACTTCTCTCCAAAATCTTGTGTCTAAATAAAGATTTTTTCTTTCATGTTTTTCTTGTCATTAAAACTGAAATAAATTAATTTTACTTGAATCAAAGGTGGAAACTTGGTGGTAATGTTTATGTAGTTATAGATTATCACATAAAATGAACTACCATCATTTTTGACTGTGGTGCAGAATTGCTTGGAACATTGTTGGTCAGGAGTGAGAGATACTGGTAGAGATATCTACAAAGTTCTGGACAGTTTCAACTTATACCAAAACCTTGAAACAAAGTAAGTGATGCTGTTGTTAGTGTTGCCTCCAAAAACACCTCAAAATAGAGCTAAAAAAGGTAACATATGTTTCCACTATTCTTCACTCCATGGTTATACATTATACTCAAACCCCAAATACATACGAAGAATCAATCTGTAAATAAAAATTTAATTTGAAAAATACTATTACTTTTAATTATATTATCATAGCTCAACTACAAATATTATTTGTCGTATTGATTCCATAAGTGACAAGGCTTATTCCAGGTGTCTGTAAATAACATGGGTAAATGTTGTACTGACATGAAAATAGGAAGAGAATCTGGGGGGATAATGGTTAATGATGGTAAAAGGAGAGACGACCTCATGTTTCTACTAATCTCCATCTATTAGGGTTCAACATGAAGGACATTATCTCACATCTGCCTCGTACAAAATTCTATGCACTCAACTTTAAAGCATCTGGTATGGGCCGTAGTCAGAAACAGGATAGTGGACTAAATATATCCCATGCTCCCTGTGCAACATTCCTTGAGCTTTCTACATCCTCATGCAGCAGATGTGAAATATGCAGTAATATCTGTTCTGCTTTAATTATTTGCACTACTGTATTTGAATACTAGGTTTTGGTCACCTAACCAAGCAATTGCTGAAGCTAGCAGAAGGCCGTGTGGTGCTGGCACTGGAGGGAGGACATGACCTTACTGCCATCTGTGATGCATCTGAAGCCTGTATAAACGCCCTTTTAGGAAATGAGGTAAAACATAAATCGTAATAGATGGAGAGAATGATCCAAGTTTGCTGAAACTCCTATCTTTTATTTTATTTTAGTAACAATAACATCAGTCCTTTTCTCATTTGGTGTAAAAACCATGCAATTTGAACATGTCTTAGAGATGAACAGACTTCAGATGAGCTAGTTTGGATAAATATGGCTAAATTAGATGATTCTATAAATCCTTTAGTATTCGCCTAAATTATTCCCTGTTCTGAGTAGGATTTAATACCTCAAAATTGCTTTTAGTGCTATTGTGCTGAATACCAGACTTGACATCATTGGTAGTCATTGGTGTGCATATGATCTATCAGGATCAGAACTTTCAGCCAACTACCACGGAAAAAAAATGGCTTTTACAAGGTATCTGGTAGTCTTAGGAACTAGATATTGCAAAGACACATGTTTTGCAGTATTTTGACACTTCAGCTGGTGTGTGAAAGAACACATTTCAGAGGCTTTTGAAACTGAAGAACATTTATAAAAAACTGTCCAAGAGTTCAAATTTTTTTTTTTTTTGTTATAGACAAAGATTCAGGTTGATCTGTATGTGGTTTAAATGGAGAGTCCAAGATTTATCGAACACTCTATATATTATTTTAAATTTTTTTAAAGTCAACTATCAGACTAAGCAAATACAAGTACGTGCTATTTATGTACCCAAACACAAGATAAAATTTCGTTTTAGCAAAAATTGGGTTTGCTGTCCACTAGAAAACATCTTTTCTCCCACAAACAGGGTGAAAAGGAAAATAAGCTTGCTGAAGGTGCAGCCAAAATTATTTATCAAAGGGCAAAAGTCTTTACCATAAATTGTGAATTTTGCCACATTGCACAAGTGCAGTGTGTTACTTTTTTTCCCCCAGGGGAATAGGTAATAACTATATAATGTCTTCAATCAAATGTATTAATGCCATATTCCAAGCTAGTCTGCCAGTTCCCTTCCACTTCAAGACTTCATACCTATGTGAATATATGTGAAGTAATGTGTCTTCTGGACGATATTGGATAGAAGGATTTTCTAAATGTTCTTTTCATCCTTTGCTTTTTATCTTTATGACCCATTGAGAAAAACGTGTTTATGCTAATAATTTTTTACATTATACTTGCAATGAATAAAGTGATAGCTGTTTCAGAAATATTCTCAGAAATGTAAAGTACACACACACACACACAAAAAAAGCTTTCATTAGGTTTTATCTATTATGTCCTTTGACAAGTCTCATAAGAAGGGTTTTTCAGTGCTGTGACATACTACTGAAATAGATGATCAGCTCAGTCTTGGTCCTTTTATTTAAGTGCTGAAATATAGATTGCAAAACCTAGCTTGAGACATTTGACAATCTCAGGGAATGCAGTATTGCCTTTCTGATCGGCTGCCATTCCAGGGCACTCTCATTGATATTCTCTGTCATCATCTTCCCTGTGGTAGCAGTATCTTATGGCAGCAGTGGCTTTTCACAGCCTTCTAAACCCATTCTCTGAAATCTGCACCCTTGTGGGACTAATGCAAATGGTACAATGCTGATGACATGTCTTCCTCTGTGTAGGTCCTGGGTCCTTCTATCCATTTATGACCATTTGGTGGTGCTACCCATTTATGAAAACTGCCTTGTTTTGTTTTAACACTCTGTCACACTCAGTTACTAATTCTGCTGTCACTGACTAGCCATTATCCAATAAAAAATACTGATTGTGAGAAAAAGGAATGGAATAAGTGCACTGGAATAAACACTTTCTTCCCTCTTATTTTAGAGTAACTAGAGATTGGGAAATTAGATAAATTGTGAATCTATCTGTTTGCAAAATTCAGGTGAGACAAAAATTCGGTAACTGAGAATGAAGACAAACATAACCATGATTCCATTTTCAATTCACTTGTAAAAGAACTGACCATTAATATCTTGAAATGTCTTGTGCAATAAGATCATCATGTGCTCTTAGAGCTTTGTCTTCAGGGACATGCATTAAATGGTCTAGTGCAGCAGAATTTCAAAGAGCAAATATGCTGTGGCTGCTAAGAAGAGAAAAATACTTCAGAGAGGATGTTGTTATCAATACTACCATAAGACACTGATGTTTGCTTAAAAGAATAAGTAAAGGTGTTGCGGAGGAGCAGACACTAATGAGGAAGTTTGATACCTAGTTAGCAGTTAGAAATCAGCACATCTGTTAAAATCTACAGATTTATGGCAATCTACACCACATGGCCCATAGCATATACACTGCTTGATTTCATCATAATATTCATGAACTTGCACAGCAAACTCCAAACATGTTCCTGCCAAAGACAGGAAAAAAATGTTTTTCCTCAAGAAACCAATTATTGTAATTTGAGGATACATTCTTCCTTGAATGCAATTCTTTACAGGTGATTAATAGGATAATTATATCTTATTATCTGCTCTTCACTTACAAATAATGGTATGTAGTGTAACCCTAGTTTGAAAACATTGGCAAGATGAACTCTAGTTTCTAAACACTACACATGGAATTGAACTCAAATTAGAAAGGTTGGGAAAGGCCTTTGTAAGGTACTCTGCAGTTTGTCAGATCTATTTATTCATGTGCTGAGGATTAGAATTCATAAATATTTTGCAGGGATTTTTGAAAACTTTTTCTTTTCTTTTGTTGTTTTTGGCCAGCACTTGTCAATAAAGAAATTCACTGCTTCGTGTGTTCTATTACCAAAAGAATAACATTTTTAAAAAAGACTATATGTGAAACTAAGTTACAACTTCCTACTTTTGTGGAGAGCTGGTCTGATGTGTAGAGGTAACATCAAACTTACAAGTGAGAAATGCTTGCTTTTCTTAATTTGTCTCTGAACACCAAGAAGGAAAACAGGTTGACATCCAAAATAGATACATTTTTCTCTTAGTTATATCTGGCCTGTAGCAAGTCATCTGTTTAGCAAGATAACTTTTTACTCCACTCTTAACAAATGCAAGTGGAGCCACTAGGAAAAGAATACACTATCAAGTTAATCTTCTTTAAATAATTTGAGCATGGCACAGGAAATTCCTGCATACAGTTGTTGATTTTGAAGACTAAAAAAAAAAATTTTCAAAAGGTCTCTTTTTCTCACTTTGCAGAAGTAATTTTGAATAATAATTTCAGATTTTGACAGGAACACAAATGGGACTATAATTGTTGATTTTGTCTGACTGGAGGTACTTCTATTGTCAATTGTTTCTTTCTAAGAAAAGTACCTTTTTAGAAACCTTAGGGTGTCCAGGACATCGGCCCGGGACTGGCAGATCTATCATAGAACTTAGAGGAGATCCACACCCTTTCTAACTGGCAAATGGAGATCAGACAAGACATCCTATAGTATCTGAAATGGCTCAATCTGATTTGGTTGTATGAATCCCTCCTTAAATGATCAGAAAACTAAAAAAAGAAATTATAGAGGTAAAGGTAAGGATAATTTTTATAAAGATCAAACTATTAATTAGAAAGTTTACATATAAAACTTTTTAAACAAAAAAGATTTAAAGATCTCAGGTTTTCTTGTCCATGCTTCTGTTTACAAGCAGAAAATTTCCATGTCACATTAAGAAAAATCCATTTGGCCATCTGCAGAGCTAATTAGGAGCACTGTAGGTTATCTCCTTGGAAGGAAATCTTCCTAAGAGGTGAGAAAAGATTAAGCAGCTGGATTCCCTTGAAATCCAAAATGAAAACATGGAAATCCTTCTGGAAGGTAAAAAGGCAGGATGAGCATCAGTTGCTTTAAAATATCCCCAAATTTTCTCAACAGGATTTGAAAACTTGTCCGTTTAAAGAGCAGCTGTCAAAACAAAGGGAATTATGATTTCAGATAATTAGAAAACAGACATTGCTTTTAAACTTAAGCATTTCTGAGATTATTATATACTCTTGTGCTTAAAATTAAATTCTTTCATTTATTGTGATATTCTTTAAATGGTTTTACAGTTTTTCTCAGATTGGTTGTGTAGTTTAAATTACTGAAAATCATATATAGATTTTTATATTACTTAAATTAAGAAAATCATTAGATGGTAAGATCTGTATGTTATTCCAAAAAGTGTGTGAAAACTGGGCTGAATATTGAGATTTTTCCCCAAAGCCTTTTTCATGAAGGATGGAAATTCCACACTACTTTTTCTGTCCAGCTTCAGTGCTACAAAGACCTCTGCTATGCATTTTGGTGCCAGGTGATGGTGAGTAAGGCTGCTCTATATATGCAAGGATAGGTTCTGGTTTCTTTCCTCCACATTACTTTTGAAGAGGCAATGCCTGAATTTAAAAAATCCCTGAAGGATAAGCTTTCCTTGAATCCAGCATCCTAAATCCTGCAGCTTATTTCCAACATAAGGGCATTCAGCTGGGGGTTCTTCTGCAGCCAAAGAGAATAAGGAAGGATTCCATCAAGTACAAAACTCATTGAGTCAAAATCTAATGATTTAGTTCTTCCTTTATCTCATCCCTTTTCAAGTAGCCAGGTGGGATATTTCCATGGGACACAGAAGTCAGTCTAACATGATGGTCACTCTGATCTGTCCACAGGTTTGGGCAATGTCTCTTAGCTCTATGTGGTACAGCATTTTGCCGTGGTCTATAACAAGTGATAATTAGTCACAGATGGGGTCATGCTCTTCTTTGCATAAAAGAAACAGAGAAGTGCAGTCCACAGTGTGCTCTACCCAGCGGGACCCTGCAACAAAGGCACAGAGAGGACGCATGTCTGCTCTCATTGACTCTGGCGGCCAAGGCTGAATTTGGCCCTAAGTGCAAAAACATTTCAAAGTGACTAAATTTAACATCTTCTAGTAAATATTCTTCTGGCTTGAATTTCAGTCATAAGTAGAATTTGACAAAACATTGTGATTGGTTGGCTCCCAAGCATGCTTGAAAACTTATACTGGACAATTTTCTTGCAGAGTGTGTGAAGTATGTGCTTCTTCCTTGCAATCTGTTGAGCTGGCATTTAGGAGGGGATGGTAAT